AGTTATTCACTCAGGTCCTTTATTCCCTCCCTTTCACCTTGTGAAGGCATTGCAACCAAATACCATCTTGGAACTCATGGCTCTTGCCAGACTCTGAACCTACCAATGCCTCTCAAATCAATGGCACCCCAGCATCCATCACTGTGAGAAATAACTTACTGTTTATACATAGTCTCAGATTTGTTTTCACAGCAGCATAAATGGATAAGATGGTATCATTTTTTGAAAGAACTATTATGACATGAAGGCTGCAAACCAGCACATCTGAGTCCACTACATACTTTACTTGTTTTTAGACCTAGGAAAACTAGGAAGTCAACTTGAAGTTGGGGGTGGGGGTGCCATGGATGCATGCCTGGTCAAAAGTAATCTAACTGATGCTTGACTGATATTTTACTAATTCTATTACAATAGGCAAATGGTTGACAAGCACCTAAAGTTTAAGAGGAAAAGAGAAAAAAGTAGGACTGTTCCATTTTAACATAAGCCAAGGTTAAGTTTCAGCAGTGGAATAGTCTATGGTTTTACAGGGGGTGGTTTGAGATGGACCAATCTAGACAAAGAAGGAGTGCAGGAAGGCTGTAGGAAGAAGAAACTGAAGCCTAGTATTTATTTTATAATTTCTGCCTATTTATTTTATTTAATTTTATAATTTCTGCCTATTTTATTTACTTTTATAATTTCTGCCTATATATATATATATATATATATATAAATCAAACAGACTCATCAAGTTGTTGTGTGTGTGTGTGTATGTGTGTACACAATAATAAAGAAAAAGACACGAATTTGAGAGGGAGTGAGGGGATATGTGAGAGAGGTTATAAGAATATGAAGAAAAATGATGTGATTATATTTTATTTTTAATTTGCAAAAAAAATAGCTAGATATAATGGTACATGACTTTAATCCCAGAACTTGGGAGGCAGAGGCAGACAGATCTTTATGAGTTCAGGCCAGCCTGATCTAAATAGTGAGTTCCAGGCCAGACAGGGCTACATAGTGAGATCTTATCTCAAAACACAAAAAGAAATTGCAAAAAGCACAAATAATTTGGGTGAAGAGAGAGAGAGATGCTTCCAGTCTGTCCAAGGAAACAAAGTTTGGATACAAGCCCACACAAGAATTAGGGGTATGCTGAGTTACCCTGAGCTTGTGTGGTCTGACGAAGCAGATCTGAGAAAGCCTCTGACAACATGCCATTGTAGCCACTAACTGAAGGAGGAGTATATGCCCCACCAAGGGAATCAGACTGACAATATTTCTCTGGCAGTAAAGGTAGAGAAGAAGGAAGCTGAGGAAGGTACTAGAGGCTGAAACAGAGGGGCTAGGGCAGCAGGTGCCAGAACCTACACAGCCACAGAGGAGTCAGTACAGATTTGGCATCTTAAGAACCGTAACAGCTGGGCGTTGGTGGCACATGCCTTTAATCCCAGCACTCAGGAGGCAGAGGCAGGTGGATCTCTGTGAGTTCGAGGCCAGCCTGGTCTCCAGAGCAGTACCAGGATAGGTTCCAAAGCTACACAGAGAAACCCTGTCTCAAAAGAAAAAAAAAAAAAAAAAACGTAACGTAACAACTGAGGGCACCTAAATGAGCAGGTGGTTTCATTTTCTAAGGCTTCCTGGCTCAAATGAAGTTTGGGAATGGATGTAAGCCCAAAGGTTGGAGAGATGCTAGAGTGACTACTCCAGTGCAGACCTAAGGAGGCAGAACTGGGGTTTTGTTAGAGGATGCAACAGCACAATAGAAGGGAGAAAGTTTGAGATGTTGCTCAAAGCAGGCTGTAGTGAAGTATCAGGGAGGAATCCACGGGGGGAGGGGCAGACAGGGCGCTGGCGGTGGAGAAAAGGCTCAAGTGTCGCTGACCCAGAAGGCTCACAATGCCTTCATCATGGCTGTAGTCAAGACAGCAAACCAGAAAGATAGGATTTGGGGTTCACAAACCCTTCGTAGGTGGGCCATTTCACAGTATAATAACAACATCCAGAATGTGGCTTGACAGAAGGCAGCTATAAAATAGAGGAAGATGCAGACACGAAAGATGAGTCAAAGGGCAGAGTCCAGGCCACCTCAGAATCAGTTCCAGTACTAAGGAGAAAAGACCAACAACATGCAGGATTCCCTGACAAATGGACTACAGCCCCTTAAAGGAAATTTGTACATCACTTCAGCCTCCCTCCTCCCAATGTCACCCCCCACCTCCATGCTTGACTTGATTAATAAAAGCAACTCTTACCACACTCCCACAGAGGCCTCCAAAATGTTCCACATGGACTGTTCAGCTTGTCTTCTTGGGACAACAGGATGCACCACAAGCATGAAGAGTTACTGATGATAAACCGACTTTCTCACTCTCTGACCTCAGGCTTTGTGGCGGTATGCCACAGAGTGGGGACTGCTACCCTGCTGGCCCAATCCACAGGACTGCATAGCTGTCTCTCTACCAAAAGGTCAAAGACTGGTCACTATGCTCCTTCACCATGTAACAGATACCAGATGAAATGTGTGTGTGTTTCAAAAATATCAGACAAAAAGAAGGGGAACTGTTTGGAACAGGAGACCCAGTACGAGTGGGAAGGTATGGACAAGGGAGGGTAACAGAGAGGTGAATACAGTCAAAGTATATGATGCATGCATATAAAAACTTCCATAATGAAACCTGTTTCTTTGTGCAATTAATATATGCTAATGAAAATAAAAGGCAAGAATAAAGAGGATTTCTGAGTGTTTCCACCACCCCCCCAGAAATGTTTGAGAAGACAGTGCCTTGCCCTGGGTGACTCCATTTTGAGTGCAGAGGCAGAATAAGGATGACTGCACTCTTTTTGTTGTTCTTGCTGGACCACTTGTCCACCACTAACCATGATATACAAATGACAACTTTCCCCTAAAATTACAAAGATGCCACCTATAAACTTACCATATAGCTTAGAATGTGGGAGTACATGGATATACTAAAACCACATGAGGTATCTAAGGGATGGCTTGTGGTAAAGAACACTAGCTGCTCACCCAGAGCACCTGGATTCAGTTCCTACCACACACATGATGCTCATACATACACTCAGGCAAGACATTCATATACATGAAAGTAAATAAATTCTTTTTTAAAGCCATCTCAGAAAAACAGGTCCAAGAACTTATCAGACATACGAAGACCATCCAAGAGTGAAATACCCTCACTTGAACACCAAAAAGAGTAGGATCCATAACATGGCAGTGGTAATGGCCCCACAGACCTGTCATCTGGCCACCCAGTATGTCCTTCAAGAGATCCACCAGCAAAGAACTCCCACTGTCTCCTGAACTTCAAGCTCAGCATGGTCCCCCACTGCTTGGTAAAGCACCTAGTCCATGCATACATCCTGTCTTCCATCAGGACCTGTCCTACACCTCTACTACCTGCACCTCTGCAGCGTGGCTCTTTAGACCCTGCAGCAGCTCTGCAACTGGTCTGGTGAATGATGTATCTAACCACCTACAGAGACTCTGAGCATCTGCAACAGTCCTCTGCCTTACCAAAGGGAAAGTCCCCTTTGAACTCCATGGCCTCCTCAGCTCTTTTGCAGCCATTCTAAAACCTACATACAGAGAGTTACAATTGCTGAGTGATGTGTAATGCATGATCTGAGAGTTAATGGTAGTAACTGGATTGGAATAAAAGATACTGTGTTTTCCCTGGCCAGCTTCAAAGGAAATCAAAACTAATTGGCCATGTGCAACCAATCAATCCAAAGTAACTTATGAATTGTTTTTCAACAAAGCACTATGCAGAGACACAAATGTGTCTATGTTTCTGGCATAGCACACTTAGGACAAAAATATTACACAAAAAAATAACAATAAATCTTAAAAAATAGTAGCTAGAGACATGTCTCTGGTTAAGAGCATTTCCTGCTCTTCCAGAGGCCATGAGCTCAGTTCCCAGCACCCATGTTGTACAACCACCTGTAATGCTGATTCCAGGAGATGCAAAGTCCTTCTGGCTTCCTTGGGCATACCTACACATGCCTTATACTCACATATACACATACACAAATCAAAAGCAAATTAAATACATAAATTAAAAGTAAATACATTTTTAAAAACCTTACACAATATGCATATGTATCAAAGTGCCACCTAATACCCTATAAATGGGTATAATTATTACATATCAATTCAAAATACACGTTTTAAAAGACTAAATAAATCTAACATATAAAAGTTAAAACTGGGCAAAACTAATTTATAATATTAAATTATTATGTCAGAGTATAATAGGGTAAAAAATGTAGCTCAGTAATAGAACATTTATCTGGCATTCAGAAGGCCCTGGGTTCACTCTCCAGCATGAGAAAAAAAAAAAAAAAAAAAAAAAAAAAAAAAGGAAAAGAAAAGTCAGCCCAATGTATGTGTTCCACTTCTGTGGATATAGTATTTCTTGATCAAGCACTGTTTGTGTTATGTCCAGTATAAATTCATTGGTCTGTGTGATTACAACGAACTTTTCTGTATGTATGTTACACTTCAAAATTCTCTTAGGTAGATGAATGAAACAATCAAATTGTAGAATCTTAATTAGCTTAAATTTGAACAGATTCCCCATTGTAAGATTCAAACAGAAAACTAAGATAAGGATCATAAAACATAAAGTCAAGATATCCCACATTTCTGCCATCTGTAGAGTCTCTGCCATGACCACTCAGCTTTGACATTACAGCATGGAAACAACCATAGTAGATGCATAAAAGAATGGATATGGCTGTGTTCCAATATAATGTACCTGACAGTAGTGAACTTTGAATATCACAATTTTCAATATGTCCTGAAATAATAACTTTTTTCAGTTATTATTTCAGAGCCATTCTTAGCTTTCCATCTGTACAAAAATATGCAGTGAGCCAGATTTGGCTGACAAGAAGTGGTATGCCAATCTTTGCCCTAAGGTAATGTACATGTAACCATTTCCTGGTGGTTCTATAGGCTTGGCCTGTCCTCTCCAAAATTCTTCTCTCACCTTTGTAAGTAGGCAGATACTGTGTCTTGTCACCATTTGGAAATTTACTGTCCCGAGGTTTGATGGCACCAACTTGACAAACAGGGACATAGTTAAAATCTTGTTTATATGTTGTGAGTAAATCCATATTCTCTTCACTTGGAACGTACGGGTCAGGCTGATGGAATTCCACTGGTGCCATTTTGTGAAGCCCAAAATCTCTCCTGGGAGAAGAATAAGCACATGTCATTGGAGTCCTTGCTTGGGAGAAGACAATGTTGTCTACTTAACTCACAGTAACTGAATTTTCTACTCCCTACCTTTTCCTCTCACTTCTAATTTAGAACAGGACACTATAATACACTTTTTGCCCATGTTTGACCCCTTGACTCCTGGGGTATCATCCTTGACTCCTCCCCTCAAAGCCACAGAGTCTGCCATTCACCAGGAGTAGCCCCTCTACTTCATTGAAGATTTTTTGCCCTTTGGTCCAGATCCCAACCTATTTTTACTTTGGCCATGTGACAACCTTCCCCCCCTCCCCACTCCCCGACTCCCTGTCTTCCTGTTTCTGCTTAATTGCCTTGGTGCATCTAGAATAAAGGCTGAATAAAAAGATGAACTTGACCACCAGATAAAACCCAGCTCTCTAGTGCAATTTACAAGTTGTCCCAGACTGTCCTCTGACTTACTTCCCTACCCACACCTTGTGTCAACCACAAAGCTCATTGACGAGAAGGCCTGTTCTGCAGCTGATACCCCCACCTGCCTTGCAGCCAACCGCTTGAGTGGAGCTAACATCTGTTTTTCAGATACACTTACTTTTCTCTCTGTTCTCAGGAGCTTCTTCTGCTAACATTTATCTCCTCTACTCAGCCTTACAGAAAACCCAGAAGAGGAAAAATGTGGTAGACACACAAAGTCTTCATCTCTTTCCTATCTGCTGTCATCAGTGCCCCCATTGTGTCAAAGAGTAAGAAAACAGAATGAAAATCACACGATGTTTTACACCAGAACAAAGTAATCCCTTCCCAAATCAGCCACAGTTAGGACAGGCCCAGGTGGCACCTGTCCATCACCAGGAGTTCCCTGGCCACATCCAGCTGAGTCAGGCTATACTGCCCATTGCCACGGTCTCCACTGCCCATATCTCCATGCTACCAGTTCCTCCCCCAAACAAACTGCTTTTTCCTGGATATCATTTGGCCAAATAGGACAAGGGAAAAGTACATATTTCCCTAAAGGTGCTTGCTTGAACAGCCCCGTCAATGGAAGGGAAAGGTTTCCGGACAGGAAAACATTAGGCTAAACACTAATAAAACCACTTCCAGGCTGAAACCTGGTGTGGCATTACTGAGCCATGCCTGAGTAGCAAGGGTGACACGCTCCACTGTAACCTGTCTTGCATGAATTATATACAGGGTTGTCAGTAAACCCAAAGCAGGTCCTGAGCATGCTTGGTGGGATGAAGGAGCATGGAAGAAGGAGAATTAGTCTCTTTGGGGCCACAAGTGGGAGATGCTTCCGTTGAACTCCCATAACACCCTCTAGGTATATCTTAAAATATATCTTAGTGGCAAGAACAGCATCTGCAGCCTGAGCTGCTTTCCCAGGGGCCTCACATGGGCTAACAGCAAAGGGACGCTGGTAACCCCAGCATCCGGAAGCTGAGAATATAAATGGGAGTTATGAAGGGAACAGGCTAACAGGAAGCTAAACAAGAAGCCAGGAGTCAGCTCCACACTTTTACCCTTTTTAGATTAAGGACCCTCACATAGTGACTGCTCAATACTCAACCAATTGCAGCAAGACACGAGGAGACACTAAGCCTCCAAGGGCTGCACAGACAGACCCCTGAAAATGTTTGAAACCCCATCTGAAAACCAGTCAAGCTGAGAGTTAACTTCCTGCTGAAAGTTTATCTGCTGTGGAGAACATTCCTAAGGGAAGCTGAGGGTTCTCCACTCCCAGAGCTGGAGTGGGATTTTGAGGTGACCTTACCTATGTTCAATGATGGCTAGCTGGGCTGTGGTCCCTCTGTACTTCCAAGAATAGCAGAAGATACCAAAGGCCAGCACTGAGGAGCAAAGTCAGATATGTCCAAACTTACATGCTAAGGCTCTATGACTGCCCTAAAAAAAAAAATCCTACCTCTCCTCTGAGGTGCTATCTTCCAGGGGTCTCCAGACACTAAAAGCTGAAGCAGGCTTAATGCCCCTGTCTCTGGTTCATCCACGGGAATCTGCTAAGGAATGCTCACAAACTCACCAGCTCGAGGGTTGCCCTCAAGTTGTTCCTCAAAGACAGAAGCAGACACAGAAAATGTCTTGTGAGCCACATTTAGGGAATGGATTCATTACTAAATCTCCTTCCATACAAAATTCAAATTCTACTATCAAAGTGATCTGTATTTGTATTTACAGACCAGCTATAGAGAAGGCAAATGATTGGCTAGGAAAAGCCTCTTACCTCAAGGGAGGATTATTTTTAAATTTAAAGTTTGATTCATTTGTATCTGCCCCCCCCAAAAAAAAGACAGTCTCAATGGCTGAAGAGAGTGAATTTTATCAGAATTTCTGTGTTTCCTCATTAGATTTTTATGTTGGGAACACTCACTGAAACCTATCATTAACCACAGTATAACTGCATGTCCCCAATCACACATAATCTTACAGCCTTCAAATTCATACCAAAAGAACTTATTTTATTCTTCCCAGAAATTGCTTAAATTTAACAATTTTCTACATTCAATGGCTCCTCTCTTCCTGTGGTATGTTTCCCAGTGTTTAGCCCCACGGTGACTATGAATACAGAGGGAAAAAGGTCACAGATCCCAGCTTCCTTCAGGTAGGTAGATATAAAAGCTATCCAGCATGGAAAGCCAAGAGTTAAAGTAGAATTAAGTGCAGGTTAAAGTGACCCTTCTGGGGAAGTTACAGCAACTTCATTTCAAATCACTTGGCTAAGTTAAAGAAAGGTGTTGGGCAAGAACAGGGGAAAAGGAAAGGAGAAATTACATAATTGCTAATGAAAATCACTTGCCTGGAAGTGGGGAATGGAGACTTTTCACAGGAGCCAAGCAACAGTTACTTTTTTAATAGTTTAGTATTAATGCAAATTTCAGAATTTATTATGGTAGCCAAGGAATCAATCATATTAAAATGTAATCTTAGGAGGCAACCCTCCATTTTTGCCAAAGCAAATCTCTCTCTCTGCAACGTTCCCCTAAATTGCCCTCCTGGAACTTCATCTCCTAGCCTATGGCTCCACATCTTTCCCCTACTGTCTTCCTTTCTGCCCCAGTACACACACATACACAAGACTCTATTTTCTTTTTTTTTTTTCCTTTTTTGGAATTTTTTATTTAAATTAGAAACAAGCTTGTTTTACATGTCATTCCCAGTTCCCTCTCCCTCCCCTCCTCCCCTGCCTCCCACCAACCCCCTATCCCATCCCCTTTCTGCTCCCCAGGGATGGGGAGGCCTTCCATGGGGATCTTCAAAGTCTGCAGAACTCTTATTTTCTCCTGTACTGCTCTTCATCCTCCCTCTCCTCTAGAAACGGTCTGCATGACTTCCTCTCCACCCACACATTCACCAGAAAATGCAGTTCTACTTCACATGCTAGCCAAGGCATCTCAGACAGAGCCAGTCTCTCTCACCCTTAGCCTGCTGCATCGATAAATTAGTCATGGTGTCTATCCTCAAGTTCATGTTAAGCATCTCTTTCCTTGGCCTCAGTCAACCCACTTCTCATGATTTGTCCTTTTATTGGGGTGGGGGTATACTCTTTCATCTTTGATTTATTTCATTATTTCCCTATGTAGTTTCCAAACTTCTCCAGCTCAAAAGACATCTTTCTAAGGAGGCTATTCTGTCATCCTACACAGGGTTCGAGAGCCTTTTACAGAACACTGAGAGAGACCCCTTTGTAGAACTGCTAAGCTTGTTCCCAGCATTGAGCCCCGTGGGATATCATCCCTGAAACAAGTGGATTCTAGCACAACCACCCAGGATACAAATTATACAATACTCTCTCTTCTTCTCTCAGCTCCTCAGAGGCAGAAGCTAACATCTGCCCCCATTCCATGAAGTCTAGAAGAAACCATGTGTAAACTACTGGAAAGACTGGAGTCAGCACAGTCCAACAGGTTCTGGGCTAGAGCCACCAGGGGGGAGAAGGAACAGCCCTGGCTCAGGTCTTGCTGCTTCACTTCATGAACTGCTTGTGAGTCACAGCTTCCAGCCTGAAAGCAGCCACCAGCCTCTGCCAGAAGAGGTAGCTAAAACCAGCCTGTGCCATATTCTTTCTGTTCACAAAAAAAGGGGGCGAAGAAAAAAAAGGAAAGCAAAAACCCAGAAAAGCAAATGCGAGACAATCGTGGAAAGGAAGGAGCTAAAGCCAAAGTTCTGTAAGTGGCCCAGCCTACGTCCCTGCTTGCCTCACACACCAGAAGCAGGCTTCTGAATTAAGGATAACTGAATTGCAGTGGAATTTGAGCTGCCACCCAAGGACATGGAATTTGCCCTTTGAGCCTAATCAAAAATTACCTGTTCAACAAACAAACAAAAATGCTTTTCAGAAGAATGAAAAAAAAATGAAAGTCCTAAGTCTCCCAATGCAATATTCACAACACTGCACAGAACCAATACAAAATGACTTGACACTCTGTGGGAAAAATGTGACCCATGTACATCAAGCAGATGTAGCAAAGATCTCAAAGCAGCTATTTTAACAATACTTAGTGAGAAATGGCAAAATGAAGTCATAATAAATTAAGAGCTAGAAAATGACAGAGAACCAAGCTAGTCTCCAAAGAACCAAATGGAAACTCAAAAAGCTAAAGCCAGACCTGATGGTGCACCCTTATAATCCCCAAATCCCAGCACTCAGGATCAAGGGTGAGTATCTGATCATAAGTTCAGGCAAGCCTGAGATACAGAATGAGACCTCATCTCAAAAAAAAAAAAAATCTAAAATATACCTTATCTCAGAAAAAAATGATACACTGGGCTTACAGAAGGGTAGAAAGACTCCGTAACTTGAACTGATTAAAAGCTATCTAATCTGAGCAAAAAGGTGTAAGATTAAAACAGAAAACAGAACAACAGGGACATAAGATTCTTAATGAAATAATGGACAAGATGTCCAGAAACTCAATCAAGGATGCACACCAAAGAAGTCAAAGGCTCCGAAGTTCCGCTGTCAAGCCTAGTGTTGAGGACCTCATCTGCTTGTCTTGTCAGTCCTGCCATACAGGTAATAACTCTGGTGCTGTAGCTTTGAGTAGCAGGCAAAGAAAACCCTTAGGGCTCAACAAGCACGGGTCAAGACTCAGCTCACTACCTCATTACCATTGCTTGCATCCTTCCTGGCTTTGGAAAAGGGCACCAGAAGTCCCTTCTCTTTTAACTCTTTCCTCCCTTAATCTCTCTGATTTATCAATAAGTCTTATCAGTAAAAGAAAGTCTCTATTAGCAACTCCACTCCACCCCACCTTAAGCCCTGTCTCCTCCCTGCCCTTAAGCCAAATCCTCTCTCCTCTCCTCTCTCTCCTCTCTCCTCTCTCTCTCTCTCTCTCTCTCTCTCTCTCTCTCTCTCTCTCTCTCTCTCTCCTAATAACTCTGCCCATCCTCATCGCCTTCCCTTAAGTCTAATCCATCACCCCCTTCCCCTCTCTCCTCCTCCCTCTCTCCCCCCTCCCCCACACACAAACACACACACACCTCTAATCTGCTATGCCCATGTCCCGCTCCCTTTTAAGGTACTATTTAACACTGCTGAAGCTGGTTTAGGTAACAGAAATACTGTCCCAAGTGGGGGCCCAAGTGTTTCATCCAGTGACATGCCTAATGGGAAATGAGGCTAGAAATGCAAACAGTCTTTATAAACTGATGTCAGAGCTAGCCCGACTAAAGGCAAATCCTCAGCAAGAGAATTATCAAAAGCTGCAAATTTAAAAAAAAAAAAAAAGAAAAAAGAAAAAAGAAAAAGAAAAAAAAGTTTTTCCAGTAAGGAGGACTGGAAATCGCAGGCATTCCCCTCCTGACACCTGCTTTAAATCCCCACAATTTATGGTCAGTAAGAGCTGTGTGCAGCTGTAATCATGCCTCGTGCTGCGCTGATAGCCTTTCCAGAAGCCAGGTGTTTTTTGTGTCTGGACTTAATCACCAAGTTCAGCCAAGCTGGGACCAAATGACTTTTTCATGCAGCAGGTGGGAGCCCCAGGTCCCGCCTCAGACACTATGCAGAGTCCACCTGTAGACAGGGAAATGAGAGAGGTGCTGTGGCAGCAAGGGTCCTGGGAACAGAACAGATGGGTGACAATCTGTGCAGACCCAGAGGTTAGACAGACATGGGATGACACACCCCTTCCCCTAAAAGCCTCCAGAGGCAGGCTGCTTTACATTCCTGAAAGCAGTTCAACTTTTCCACAGTCTGAAAATCACCCCAGAAAGCACAGATTGAGAAGCAATGAGACTGAGGTACAGGACAGGGACTGCCCTATGAGTTTTTGCCTGGCTCCTCTTCCTAGGGTATGATAAAAGAAAAAAAAAGTCCAATGTCAGCCTCCCCCTGCCCCCCAACCTGAAGCCTCAGCTTAGGGCTTGAACTTAGGACCTTACACATGATAAGTGCCCTTATGACAGGGTTTACCCAGCTCCCAGGTCTGCTTTTCTTCCTCCCCATTAGTAACTGGATTCCACCCCTTTCTCTTTTTAAAGCCCTGTGATCATTAATAGTTTGGGAAATTCTTTCAGTAGCTGGGGACCTCTTGATGTAAACTGGATTTATTGTTGCTGTGGCTCTGACTGAGGCCCACCTGCTGGGAAATGGTTTTATTGTTGTAAATGACACAGGCAAAGATAACTTAGCTCATGTCAGAGGTTAATTTTATGATTTGCAAAACAGCATCAGGAGGGTATGTAGGGTACCAGATCTGAGGGCCTCAGAGCTGGGAAGCAGGAGAGAGATCCTGCCACCTCAGGGGGTTGTTGAGTGTTCTGGTAAGAGTTATACAATGAACAAGAGCATCTCTCAACATCCAAGCCTCAAGCTTCAGGATAGAAAATAGCTTTCTGTTATAACGCTCTCTGAAGTTAGTGCTTTTGATTTCACAATAAAGTGATCTTTGTTTCTTGAAAACTTGGTGTAAAGAGCTAAGAACAGCTACACCTGGGAGGAGAAAAGGAAGTCTGAAGTCACCTCCCAACACTTTCATCCCCTTCTAAACCCTGCATCTTCGCACACAGGCACAGGACTCTTCCTTGCTGTGACCTAACGTCTCTTACGAGAAGTAATGCTCACTCAGGAGCAGCCCAGTCTTTGTCTTGAGCTCTAGAACCCTAGAGATGGTGTCTCTTAGAAAAATGAAGGCCAGACTGTAAAGTTTATATCACTTATTGTAAGCTGTAGGTAGAAAAAGCAGTTATGTGTTACACTGTTCAAATGTACTAGGAGCCAGAACAGTTGTGCTTAAAACCAGATCATTTACAACTGCTTGGTGTCAGAGACATCCCTCAGCTACGCTCCATTCTCAAGGTGCCCCATCCAGTAGTTCCTACCAAGCTCAGATATCCCTTAGCTTCATTGCTCCCCCTAGGTGACCTCTTGCCCTAACCTAGATATGGCTGCTGAGTCTAGAAGACAGCACCTGTCTTTTTAGATAAGAACACCTCCAAGTAAATCTCGAGAGAGGAAATTTCTATTATTTTGGGAGAAAGATGTCATGCTCTACCCTGGTCCACCTGGAATCATTATTAAAACCATGCAAAATTATAATGCAAGGGTGAGCAATAGGAAGACATTCAGCAAGTTGTCCAGGCATCTGTAATGTCTAAGTGCTGTGATGGAACAAATGGTGTACACTGTTAACTCCACAGCACAGAAATCGTGTCTTTGGGGGATGAGGACCTGACAACTGGGTCTGAAACCCCACCCAACTTTACTCATAAATGTTCCTAACTCCACTAGATCATCAAGCCAGGCATCATCATCATTAGGCTACTAAGAGAACTGTCAATGGAAGATGCACAATCTTGTGGCCACAGAACCCTTAGACTGAGAGTGTTCTCCCCAGCCCCTGGAAATGGGGATCTCCATGACACCAACAAAGGCAGTTCCACATCTACATGGCCCTAAATCCCAAACTTGGAAATCAACTAGAGTATACCAGAAGCAATTGAAAAATTCATTCTTTGTGTATCTTGAACATTTGTGGGGTCTCTTAACTCAAAATCCATAGTACAACATCAAAAGGACCCATTCTTTATCACCAGTCTTTTTTTTTTTTTTTTAACCACCCAAGTTGTTATGGAGGCTGCCAGAAAGCCAAAAACTTTTTTCAGTGGCAGTCTTCTCCTTCTTTCCTTCTAATACAACTTCCCACCTTTAATTAGACCAATTTAGCCTAACCCCCACTTGAAGAAGCAGGAACTCTTTCTCAGTAAGAGGCTGTTTGGGAACAGTTAAGCAAGCCAACAAGCAGAAGATCATCTTTCAGAGATATCTAGTACACTAGCATTAAGACACTAATGTCACACGTCCATACTGCACTAACACCACATGCTATTATCTTGGCATCACACTATTCATTATGGCTTTACTCCCACCCATTTTCTCATTCGAGCTGTTTGCCTCACCTGGATGTGGTCAGGCCTTCCATTGGTATGGACCTCTTCTGGTAAACCCTCCTGGGCTTAAAGGAATCTCTGGGTAGGTAAGACTCATAGATAGGATAATTCTCGTTGTACTCGGTGAGGAGACATGGTTTCTCTATTTTATCATAAATCTTCGTAGGAAGATGTGGACAACGATGCCTCCTGCAAAAGATACCATATGGACAGTTTGGTTAGCTACTTTCTTGAAAGGAGTACATTCAGTCTGAAAATGCCATGTCCTCCAAATGTGACGAAGACTGACTGTTGCCATTAAAATTCAGAATTTAACCTTTTCTTTCCTCTATCATACTATGTGCATGTCAAATCTTAAAATAGTCTATAACTTGGATTGTTTTATCAAAATATATGGATCATTAAATTACACATAAGCATGGCTGATGTTCAGCTGTCACATGTCACATTGCTTGTGAGAGAGTTTAAAATAGTTCATATCATAATAAACCACAATGGTGTCAAGCCTTTCTGAGGGACACCCCAGCTGCCCTTTTGAGAACCCAGAGACAGACATTGATCAGGAAGCTTCCAGGTCCCTAATGCAGGAGTTCCACACTTATCCTTGGTCAGAAGCCAGAAATGTCTTTGGTCCTGTCCTGGTCATAGGCAGGAATGCCAGATGGGGGCTCTAGTTTGTCACCCCTCTTCTTCTAAGTGAGCACCCCTGCCTGGAAGCTTCACATTAGGGTGCAACATAGACTCCAGTCCAGACACCAATCCCCTCTGGTAAACGGCTTTGAAACTGGACCCCTGGGTTAATTTCCACTCACCATTTTAGGGTCTCAGCTCTTGCTGGGGAAGGAAAAGAATGTTACATAATTACACAAGGATTAGTACCCTTAGAGACCTTTGAGGTCCACCATAGACCCCACTTCCTATTTTGTAACACTAGAAAGGAAAACACCACAAGTGCCTTTTTTAGCCCTCCTGGCCAAAAGGAGTTACCCCTGGCCCTGGGTGGACACACAACATTCTGATCTACTCCAAAGATTAGAACACAAAATATGACTATCCCCTCCCTTGAGACTCCATCTAGTTGGACCTGACAATCACCTGGACAGGTGTTCACCAAATTATCCCTCCAAAGCTGATTCACCAGAAGTCATAGTAAAGAAATGAGAGAAATAATTATCCCTTTAATGAGATAATGTACTTTCCCTTCCCAAACGCCCCTCACTTGAAACAGCTGCTTACTGAGCCTCACTTCATGGCTGCTCTGCTCTGCCTGCTTTTCTAAGTGTCATCTCTCCTTTTTCTACTTTCAGAAACTGTCCAGAGGCTTAAGCAGGCCCTCCCAGCTTTTCTCTTTCTTTCTCTGAAACCCTCACTCTTTCAACCATACTGCTGTTTGCAAAAATCATGGCTTCCACTCCTCCCCTTCTCCATCTCCTGCCAAGATTCTATTCTTTCCAATAGATGTGCTCCAAGGCTCTAGGCCAAACTGGCATGGTTTATAACTGAGTTCCTGGGTCAGTACAGAGTATCATCACTGCACACAAGTGAGCACACACCCATCCGTGCACATACAGAAGCCAGAGCAGGATGTTAGATATTTTCCCATCACTCTCCACCTTGTTTTTTAAAACAAAGCCTCTCTATAGCCAGAAGCTGGAAATTTTGATCAGGCTGGCTAGCCAGATCTGCCAACACTGGAATGACAAGTACAAGCAGCCATACCTGGCTTTACATGGGTGTTGGGGACTCAAACTCAGGTTCTTGGGCTTACACAGCAAGCACTCTCTTGATCAGTGAGCCATCTGCCTAGTCTCCACCTCAGTTCTGAATCTACCAAGTACAATTTACTGTAGCAAACTATTTCATACAGCAATTCTGCTCATCCATTCTTTCCAATCTCATCTCAATTATTACATTCTCAGAAAAGTATGCCCTGGCTATCTTATTCCTAAAGACATATTTGTCTTCCAAGTGCCAACATACACTTCCTCTTAACCACTTGTTCGTGCTCACCTCATTCATCAAGCTCTGAACTTTCATCTTACTCATCCCTGATACATCCTCTAATAGCCTGACTAGAATATAGTTAACATTTGGGAAATATTTGTTGATTAAATGACTAAATACAAGATTTAAATGAGTTATAAATGAATACTGTAAATTATAATATTGAGCCTTTCCCATTTTACATGTTAAAAAATGAAACTCTTTACTCACAGATGGACAAAGGGCAGCTGTTAAGCTTCCAAAAACTAAATGGGTAGTGTATAACTTATTTGTGTATCCATACACAATGCCCATGAGCTGGCAAACCAACAGATACCAATTATTTTTTTTTGTCTTGGTTTGGTTTGGTTTGAGGGTGTTGTTACTATTGTTGTTGTTAATGTTTTTCTTTTTCCCCACTCCGTCACATCTTTAAGTCACCCAACCTGATGCCTCATGTTCCCATTGCCCCCCCACCCTGCCACCCCCAGTTTACTCAGGAGATCTCTTCTATTCCCCTTTCCCAGGGAAATCCATGGGCCCTCCTTGTTACCTAGTTTCTCTAGGGTTATCTAATGTAACCTGGTTGTCCTTTACACCTAATATCCACTTATGAGTGAGTCATATTTGTCTTTCTGACCTGGATTACCGGAGGATGATTTTTCTCAAATTCCATTCTGCCTGCAAATTTCATAATGCCATTTTTTAACCTCTAAGTAATACTCCATTGAGTAAATGTACTGCATTTTCTTTATCCATTCTTCAGCTTAGGAGCACCTAGGTTGTTTCCAGGTTCTGGTTATTACAAATAACACTGCTATGAACATAGTTGATCAAGTGTCCCTGTGGTATGACTGAGCATCCTTTGGGCACATGCCCAAGAATGCTATAGCTGAGTCTTATGGTAAATTGATTCCAAGTTTTCTGAGAAACCACCACACTGATTTTCAAAGTGGCTATACAAGTTTACACTCCCACCAGCAATGAAAGAGTGTTCCCCTTGCTCCATAGCTTTTCCAGCATAAACTATCATTTATATTTTTGGTCTTAGCCATTCTGACAGGTGTAAGATGGAAGATACCAAACATCTTAAGACAAACTTCCCATCAATGATTTCCACTTTAAGCATACTAAGAAATAACACTAATATTTTTAACTTTTCTTTTAACTGAGTTTTATTGTATAGCCCTGACTGACTTCAAATTCAAAATCTTGCTTTGGTCTTCTAAAGGCAAAGATTATAGGCTTGTGGCACCACACACAGCTTATTTTACACTTTAATTACAGAAATCAAAACATAGTACTCTGGGACAGCACAAGGGGGATGGGATCAAAGATGAGACCAAGAGGTCATGGCTGCTCATTGTAAAGTTACTTCCACTTGTGAGGACTCAGGAGAGAAGAGCAGGAACTCTAATTCTTTGCTGATAATGATGCAAAGTGGCACTCAAGAGCCACAAGTTGGAGAAACTCAAATTTGGAGCCAACCTGAGCTACATGGAGGGACCTTGTGTCACTAATAATAAGTATTAAGTACACAGCTAGAAGAGTGGGCTTTCTTGTTACCTATTTGTTTTGCAGGATTCTAGATAAAGCCTGGTGCTGCCTCATAACTGAACTAAGACCCTAGCCCTCAGCTAGCAAGTCTTCTTTCAAAGCTACACACAGTCTCACCAAAAGAGAATCACACTCCTAAGCGTTTACCCAGTTAGGTTCAAAATTGAAAAGTTGACATGTATATTTTAACAGCCTTATTGATAATCACACAAAACTGAAGTGACTAACTAAAGGTAGTAGTTGAACAGTTAAGAGTGTAGTTTATCTAGACTCCAGCCAGGGAAGCAGATCGGTGTCTTGCTCAGCCATCATCAGAGAAGCTTCCTTCTGCAGCAGATGAGAACAAAGACGGACACCCACACCAAGACACTACACATAGAGTGAGACACCTTGGAACATTCAGCCCTACACATGATGTCTATCAAATTCCTGGAGCCCTGAGGAAGAGTTTAAGAGCCAGAGGGGATAGAGGACATAAGAAGAACAAAGCCCTCTACAGCAACATAATCAAAGCTCATATGAACTCACAGAAACTGAGGCAGCGTGCACAGGGCCTGCACGAGTCTGCATCAGAGTCACCTGGAAAAAGGGAGCCTCTTTGAAGAACTGCCTTAATCAAATTGGCTGTGGGGCATGTCTGTGAGAGATTGTCTTGACCTGATGTGAGAGGGCTCAGCCCATTGTGAGTAGCACCATCCCTAAGTATATGGGTCTGGGCTGTGGAAAAAAAAAAAAAAAAAAAAAAAAAAAAAAAAAAAAAAACCGTCTGGCTGAGCCAGGGATCAAGCCAAGCAAGCAGCACTCCTCCATGGGCTCTACCTGAGTTCCTGCCTCAACTTCACTCAATGACCGACAGTGGCCCGGAGTACAAGCCAACTAAACCCTTTCCTCCCTAATTTGCTTTTGGTCAGAGTGTTCTATCATAGCTATGGAAAACAAACAGGAAATACATGGGGTCTAGACATTTGTAAAACTCAACAGAATTAAGGCAGAGTATGTAATACCACCACTCAGACAGGCAAGAGAATCACAAGTATGGAGTCAGCCTGGACTACACAGGCTGACCTATAACCTAGACTATAAGGCTCTACATCAAATACCAGAACAAAAGACAGAAGTAATAGTACAGAAAGTACTTGTTTTGGTTGGCTAATCAGCTAGTTTTGCTTGAGTCAGGGTCTTGCCATGTAGCCCTGGCTGGTCTCAGATTCTCAGATTGTCAGCTTTCTTACAAAGTTAAACATCCTCCAGCCTCAGCCTTCCCAGGTGTCAATATTATAGGTGTGTGATCCCACCACAGTTGGCAAAAAATAATTATAATATCAAATGACGACATAGCTGGGGTACACAGATCAGTGGTAGCAAACCTAATTAGCATACATGAGGGTCCTAGGTTCAATTCCAAGCACCAGTAAATAATATATATGCATATTATTTATACTTATTAAACATATTTATTAAATATAGTGTACATATGCATGTATTTTTTAACTTTTGTTCAGAAACTACCAGAATTGCTTCATTTACTTGACAAATTGCAGTGCTAATACAACAAAATGTGCTACCTAATTTCCTGTAACTCTAGTAATGTCCTAAAAAGTAGTCTGTTGCTTTTTAAAAGGGTGAAAGGTAAGAAGGCTGTGTTCCAG